TATATATATATACAAAAAGATATATTTGTGTATATATATATATATATGTGTTAATTGATGTGAATAATCATCAGTTAATTATGAACGTCAGAGTTCTTTCTTCAGAAAATCCACACGTCACATTTCAGGATCTGGTTATTATAGACACAGATTAAATGTTCAATATGAATATTTCTATATTCATCACCACAGTAATATTGTTACACATGTTAGTAGTTGTAAACACTCAGAACAACACATAATTGGTTTAATGATTACCTATAATCTAAACATCCATCCATCCATTATCTTTACCCGCTTCTTCCATTTTGGGTCACGGGGGTCGCTGGTGCCCATGTCCAGCAATCACTGTGCGAGGGGTGGGGGACACCCTGGACAGGTCTCCAGTCCATCGCAGGGACACATGGAGACAAACGAGACAAACAACCTTTCACTCTCTCACTCACACCTAGGGACAATTTAGAGTTACCAATCAGTCTAACATGCATGTTTTTGGTCTGTGGGAGGAAACTGGAGCACCTGGAGAAAACCCACGCATGCACGGAGAGAACATGCAAACTCCACCCAGAAAGGCCCCTGGACCGGGGTTTGAACCAAGGACCTGCTCGCTGAGAGGCAGCAGCTCTACCACCTGCGCCACCGTGCTGCCTTAATCTAAACATTTAAAGAGTAAACAGTTTTAATAACCATGTTAAAAGTTACAAATATCTTTGGTGCCTGTTTGTTTTCTAAATATATTAGTGTGTGTGGATGACAGTGATTAACATGAAACACTTTGTATTTTTTCTTATTCTTTTTTTTTCTTCATGAAACACTTTGTAGAACGTGCTTTTTGAAGTTCAGTCCATTTCTTTATATCAGTTGACCAGAAGATCTGCCACATTCAATATGGTGGACGCTCTGACATACCGCTGCAGCGGGCCAGCCCACTCAACGTGGCATCTATGATGTGCATATGTCTATGGTCTGAACAGCTTCTGACCCGTAACTTACTCAACCCTAATGGAACTACAGGGATGACAATTTCTGTGTGTAACTTCCTGTGTGTAACTTCCTGTGTGAATCCAAATAAGATTAAAAGCAAAAACAACTGGACTTTATTTGTAACTGAAGACATTTCGTTTCTCATCCAAGGAGCTTTCTCAATTCAAAGAAATGAGGAGACTGAGAATCTTCACCAGCGAACTTCCTGTGTTACATCCTCTGTGTGTGAGTTAAAGTTGTGCAACTTCCTGTGGTTGTGTTACAACTTTGTTACTTCCTGTGTGTTACTTCCTGTGTGTATTCTTACTTCTCAGGACTCTTCTGGATCAGTGGTGAGATCAGGTGGAAAAGAATGTAGGCTGAAAGACACAAACACAAGAGCATCTGCCATATCTAAACTTTACAACTTGAAACAGGAAGTAGCATTCAAACTTCCTGTTTCATCACGTCACATGACCACCAGTAAGACTGACGACTGAAGCCAGAAGTTTTAGCTTCCTGCACCTGGACTGACAGTAAACTGATGATCTTTGGGTTCTGTTTCCTGAACAGAACCAGGACCAGCTTCAGAGGGTGAGCAGCCTTCCTGCCTGGTCACGTGACCTCTCACCTTTTGGGATCTTGAACTTGTGGTCCTTCTTGTACCACAGAGCGCCTCGTTCATTGTTCAGGGTTCTGACGGGGAACTCCGAGTCCGGACCGTCCGATGTCTTCAGGGTGAAATCCGTTGCTGCAGAAAAGAGGGTGGTTCTGGTTCTGGTCTAGTTCAACACTTCGGTTTCTGTTGCTGCACTGAACACAGGCCGTGCTGCAGTCTATGATGGAAACGTGAACAGAACTTTTGGGTCAAACCACAGAACTTGAGTCCAAACTGACCGATGAACTTGTTCTCAGCAGGAAGGTGGAGGTCCGGGTTCAGCTCAAAGTCACTCCTCCAGTACCGAGCCCACTCCTCTGAAATGTCTGAAGACACAAAACAAACTGTGGTCCTTTCTGGTTTGGATCAGAACCCGACTGACGTGCAGGTGACAGTACCCTGGCAGCTGTAGCTGGTACCGAACCACTTCTCCCTGAGGGGACAGAGACCTTCATTCTCAGGAGACAGCAGCAGCAGGTTGGCTCGGTGGGGCGTCAACTGGGTCAGGGCGGCGCTGATCACCTGAGACAGAGCGGGTCAGAACTGGGTCAAGGAGGTCAAACTGAGCTTGGATCAGAACCTGGAGAAGAGCCAGCTCACCTGTGGGTCGTACTCAAACATGAGCTGGTCTCCGGTCAGGAAGTCCTGCTTGGGGAACAGCTGCATGTTCTCGCAGATGTTCTGCACAAACTCCACGGGGTCCGTCTGTGGGACAGAAACAGTCAGAACCAGTTACAGGTTTGGGTTCTAAGTTCTGCATGGGTTCTAAACCTGTTCTCTTGTAAACTCAGTTCTGGATGTGGTGTTCCGGTACCTGCTCCTGGAAATGGAACTCGTTGGCTTCAATCTTCTGAATGTCCTCATAGATCCTGAAAAACAACTGAATGGTTGGACCTGAAGGTTGTGGAATAAAGACCTGGAGATATCTGCTCTGAGACCACCACAGAACCACATCAGGGTTCCTGTTGGTTCTGAGACCACCACAGGACCACAT